TCATTGGGTATCAGGTGTTTTGATGATAGATTTCCGTGTTAACAACTAGAGAGACACTCACACTGTATATAATGTTTTTATTCATGTATAAAAGTATGTGGCACTTAAGTATTTGAAATATTCTTCCTCCGATGGTCAAAAGTGTGAAGTGGTCCTTCACCTGAGAATATCAAAACACTTTAGTATAAAATATTGATGAAGTTGTGGAATAGGGAAGAGGGGGGTACATTCAGCCATTTTTTCATTAAAAAAATGAAACTAGACAATGAGCACATTTTATAGTGCCTTATTCCTATACAGGCGTTATTTACAATGTTGTTGTTAATATTCATATTCCATAAATTGTCAAAACATATTATTTTCTCATTTCAGATTTTTTTTTCAGAATGAGATTTTTGGCTGGAAGTACCCCATCGGTGGGGTACTTTCGTCCTTAGAATGGGGTACTTTCGTCAGTGTTTGAATTATCAACTAAAACAAATCAAAAGTCGAAAAGAATGAAAATTTATTGCAGAAATAGTTGTAAAATACTTATTTTACATTGGGGTAACTGAAATTATACTTGAATGAAAAGGCTGACTGAGTTCGAGCAGTTCCTGAAAGTGATGGTTTTTGTAGTTTCGCGATCACATCGGTCTGAACCACCTCGCTCATGTCCTCTACATCTGGGAAATGAAAAGTGGTACTATTGTCTTTTCTTCGGAGGAATTCAACATTTAAGTTGCTCCCCACAATTTCCTTTATTTCTTCAACAAAATGAGCTATCGTAGATTTTGTAGGAAATTCAACTAAGACGAAGTCCCCGATGGACAATTCATTCACGTCGCTATCTTGAAGATCCTCAAAATCATCACTCAAATCGTCGCTAAGCAGTGAAATATCATCTGAAACATCAGTTGATGTATCTGAGGAAATAGATTTTCTTGATCTTTTGATTTGTTGTTTTTCAACATCAGGAAGCACTTGTCTGATTATTTTTCTCTCATTCCTCTATTTTAAGTTCTTCTTTCTGATTTCTTTTTCTTTTTCCAGATCTTCTGCTCGTTTTTTCTCTGAACTATTTGTATATATTGTCGATTTTCCGATGTTTTTTTTTCTGTTCGTCACTTTCCTAGGCTCTGCTTTGGGGAAGGGTCTGATTTTCTCTGGAGTCGGTTTGCTTGTAGAAGGTTTATCATTGATATGATCTTCAGCTATTACTTCGTCCCTTACGATGTTTTCATTTTTTTCTGATCTGATGTCAACGTTTTCTATTGGTCTGTCTGTCACACTGCTGGCTTCAAAATCCGAGTCTGAAAATATCAATCGATTTGAAGGATACAGTCCAGTTTTTCTGAAGGAGTTCATCATGCTATTTGGCACAAATGTCTCCAAAAAAGGATCTTTGGTCAATGCTGGAATATTCTTAATCGAAATTGTTTTTCCACGATTTGAAATCAACCAAACATCGAATGATATTGCACATTTGGTTTTGAATGGTCCGAAAATTCCGACGTCCAGAGGCTGCAGTCTGTGAGTAGTATGCGGAGGAAAAGAAAGCATGCAGATACCATTACTTCTAGCAAGTCAATTGCTTTTATAGATGTGTGCGAATCATGGTTATCCATCAATAGAAGAATTGGCTTTTCCTTGCAACAATTGGTGTGTTGAACAATATGTTTGAGAATTTCGGGGAAAAGATCGGATGTCATCCAACCACTTTTGTTACCGATAGCAATACTACCGAGTGGGCCACCTATCAGATAGTCGTCAACATTTCTTATTCTTGGGAAAAGATACACAGGTGGAAGAGCACGACCAACAGCATTTATTATAGCGACAAATGTCACGAGCTTACCTCTTCCTGCTGATGCTACTTGAGAAACTCGTCGTTTACCTTTAGTGGAAACTATTTTTACTGGTTTCATGACAGTTGTACATCCACTTTCATCTACATTGTAGATATTCTCTGCTTTGAAATTATATTTATTTATAACCCGAATATAATTCTCGAAGAATTCGTTTACTCCATGCCTATTGAATGCAGTTGCGCGGGCTAAACTGGTGCTTTCCGGATTCCTCAAGGACAATGTTGGATGTCGGCTCATGAAACTTTTCAATCACTCTATACCAGCACAAGAACGCTCTCTCCAGTTTGGTGAAAATTTGCAATTTGGTAATGCTGCTGCATATTCGAAAGCCAATTTGCGAATGTTTCTATAAGATAAACCATGGTTCATATCAGAGCACTTTTTTATGTATTCTGCTAGTCGGATTTCCTCTTCGTTGGTGAATACCTGTTTCACTGTATATTTAGAAGAGTACTTAGGTAGATTTATTTCAGAGTCACTATTTTCATTTCCAGAATCATGTCCAAACTTCCTGATATACTCCTCTTTCGTATGATTTCTCAAGATGATTTTAATACGACTTTGAATAGTAGACCTCTCGATATTGTAAAATTCGGATGCTCGACGAATGGATTTAGATCCATCGAATATACTTATAACAGCATTTGTCATGTCTTCTTCGCTAATAGAAGATCTATTTGTCTTTTTCACATACTTCCTTGGCATCTGGAAAGAGGGTATAGATAATATTAACAATATAAAACCATGATTATTGGCCTGAAATATGTGGGGGTACATTCGGTCAGGTCGAATGGGGTACATTCGGCCTGGTCTAAACTACCCCATCACTGTTATGACGAATCTACCCCATACCAGACATCCGAGAAATATCCGTCCTAGAAAATTTCAACTAGCTTCTGAGGTTAAACCAAGAAGGAGTCAATAAAAAAGACATATTTGGCTAAATAGTACACCCCATACCATGATCGAAATGCCCACATCATTAGAAACAATTTGTTAATACATTTCATAAAAAAACTTACTTTTACATTGGATGAATCGAATTTTATTCCATAATCGAAAATGTTGCACATATGCATCGAAAAAACTATCACAAGATGAATCTTTCCTCAATACCAACATCATGTATAAAGATTTGGCGGCAATTTCGAATATTTCGAATAGCCAAAGTGATATGAGTGGTGTCCGAAAGTACCCCACTGCCGAAAGTACCACCTTTTCCCCTACTCACCAGAAATAAGCTGCTTGATTCTTCATCAGTATAGTAAGTAGGCATAGGTTGGGAAGATGTCCTGGTTTTGACACTTCATGGTTTCACCTGGGAAGAAATAAGTAATTAGTGAATGTGAAACAGTTTCAGATAGTAGATTATTTGGGTTGAAGAATACCATAACAATTGGCTGGAAATTTTGCTACGTACCTTGAATTATTATGGTCTGAGATGAATTTTGGGATTATTGATTATTGATTTCATATCGTTAATCAATATAATTGATGATTTATTAATATCATGTGATTGTATTTTTGACACTGACGTCTCAAAACAGTGAGAGTGCTGTCATATGTCATGTCACTAACCGTCATACGAGTAATACCTGGACAGTATCATCAAAAGTATGCTGGCTGCAAAATCATCGGTGTAGGTGGTTTCATTGGTTCGGCCGGAGTAAGATGACGTTGGATTTCCGATCGGAAAATGTTTCTATGTGTTCCGTGGTCATATGTTCGTTGTTTTATGGATTTTCGTGCCTCAGAGTAGACAGGATAGTCTCGTAAGTGTGTAAGTAGCTATGCCCTGGAATTTACCAACCCCAGATGAGGATGCACATCACGTGAGCAACGTTTCCTGCTGTCCTCAAAATTTAAGTTGCGCAGGAAATTTCAGAGTTTTTTCTGGGTAGAATTTCTAGATGTAAGATTCTTGAAGGCGCAGGAATTGCCCGTTCATAGATTGGTGGCGTCGTTTCATCATTTCCTTCGGCCCCATCCTGTTTTCATTCAAGATGCAGACCGATCACTATTTGGTAGTCTTTTCGTGTAGAGAGGCCTTTCCTGATCTCAGGGGTAAGTTTCGAACCTGATAGGGATAGGACCCTACTTTATTGGTGTATTGCAGCAGATTTGTGGCCTCGACGGATACCCCGTCGGCTACTTTGGGCAACACCTCGTGGAGTCGTCCATTTTCTGATACCTCGATTGATTCTACGCCTGCTTTTCCGATTGAGACTTTTGCGAATTTTGCTGATGGGACCTAGGATTTCGACCTTGTCGTCTGGCTGCTGTTGCCTGACTTTCTGTTAGTTCTGGAGCTGCACATGCTGAGACACCCAAGCTGGACCTGCGAGCCTTCAAGGACATTTCCTGAAGAGTTTCGAATCCATCCTAGTTGCATGACCCAGTCACCTGCTCCTGACCCACCTCAGCAGTCTTCTCTGCAGTCATCTATGCAGTCCTTGCTGCAGCACCAGGTGAATCTTCAAGGTCAGCTAGTTGCAGAATTACTTCATCGTGGCTGAGGTGCCACTTCCTGCTGTCTGTTCCTGCTCTGATTCTGAGGACATGGTATTCTCGAGCATGGATTGAGTAAGAGCTATAATTCTACAATTGGAGATTTCTTTTCTGTTTTTTATGATGTTACCTTCCATCAGCACCAGATAATAGTCACATAATTTCCACCAATTTTCTTACCATCTTCTTACCAGTTTACATTTACTAGTTCATGAAATTTACTATGCATATGATCACACAAAATGTTCACCCCAATATGGATCTATAGAAGGGAATTCACATTAAATTCATATATAGGTGATTGTGAATCTGATTTTGAATATTTTTCTACTATTGGAAATATATCGTCGTTGAAATGTGAATATCTCCAATGTGACATATTTGGTCAAAATGGTATTTTTGCAGCATTCGAATCAGTTGTACATTCCGCGCAAGTCAATAATACCTCCAATCCAGAAATAGTTATCCTATAATTTAAAAGTCCATGTTCAATTTCCTCCAATGTGATAGGTTCATCATATAGGAGACAGAAATATCTCCAGTGTGAAGAAGTGCTACATAGGAGATATTACATTGCAGTCTTGTGTTTTGTTGTGAACCCTTTTACCGATACTTCGGAGATATTCCATAGAGGTATTGCAGTGTATCCACCGAGTTGCACCGACAAGCGAACATGACTGAAAGTGTCCCTTCAGCAGATGTAACCAACGTATCCTTGAATTTGCCACAGTTTTGGAAGGCCGACCCCACTTTGTGGTTCGCTCAAGTAGAGGCACAATTCAATAATAAGAGGATAACATCAGAACTGACCAAATTCAATTACGTAATTGCTTCAATTGATCCAGAGGTAGCTATGGAAGTCAGAGATATAATCATTTCCATTCCTGAAGACACTCTTCACAAAAAACTGAATGAAACGCTAATTGCAAGAATGTCATTATCCCAAGGATCACGTCGGGGTCACCAATTGTAGCGGTTCTATATAGAAATTCTATATTATATTATAGAGAACAACTGTTTGAGTTGATTGATGATTTATTTATTTGACAAGTTGTCTAGCTATTGTCATCTACCAATATACCCTGTGATCATAATCACAGTTAATACAATTAACTTCACTACAGTTGATTATAGCTGCAAAATGAATGGTAAGTTTTCGTATGATTTAGGCTCCTTTATTTTGAATACTTTCGTGTTCCTCTAATTACATTATTTGTCATCTATATTCAGTAGATTATTTCCATATATTTCCATAAGGAATACCCTCTAGCAAAAAAGCAAAAAAATGTAGCATAACCTCAAATTCATCATGTAATAATATTTTGAACCTATTATAGATAAAATGTACTCATCAAGAACCAGGCGGATGATGTTAGCTCTAACTAACAAAAAGAATAATGAATCTATGATTGTTAATGAGAACAGTAATGAAAATGGACTTGGTAAATCAATGATAAGCAATGAGATTGTCAACGACAATGATGTAGGTGATGAAGCCATGATGAGTAATGGAAACGAAGAAGTTGGTAGACCTGTGAATGGTAAAAATATTGTAAATCTACTTATTACTCTCTATTTACCTATGCGAGGCGAAGCGATAACGAAGTCGTGCACGTAAAATTTCAGTACATCAGAGTCACTTTTGATCCGAATGAAACATGCTATTTTTTGTGCAACCAATAGAATTGATATCTAACTAATAAATCATTGAAGTGAAGTCATCACGCATGGTGTCGTCAGCAGCTATCCTATCAGTTGTCAGCTGATGACATTTTTAGTTCTTAGGAGTTGAAATGAGAAAAACGTCTATCTGAAGAGCTAGTTTTTGAACAAAAATGGACTATTGAGTCGGTTGCATTCGTTGTTTACGTATTGTTGAACAAATATCCACAATCATTTCTACTATATTTCCACAATGTAGTTATGGAAGTGATGAATGATGTCGAACTTTTTCAGGTAATGTTAAAATTGTTGGAGTCCAGAATGAGAATGGTTTCGAATTTACGAATAATAATATGGCAGATGAGTTCGTAAAATGCTATGAAGATATAAATAATTTCAATTTTCTTGTGTTGGAAGATATCACACAACGAGATAATATTCCGATAGAAATGATTTACGGTAAAATTGAAACTCTCGATTGTGCGTTTAGCAGAAACTTTAACTCTGTTTTAGGTTTCGAAAATCATCCAAGTTGTTCAACTACTGATGAAATTATTGAAATCGGTGCAAACAATGAAAATTTAGATGCATTTCCACATGAAATGGAAATCAACGTAGATGATACAACAATGAAAGGAATTGGTATTGAAGAATATTCAAATAATGAAATCATGGTACTTTCGCCCCAACACGTAAATAATGCAAATAATGAAATCATAGCAGAAGCTTCAGAAGAGATATATAAAGAAATATCAATTGATGATAACATAGACGAAACCATAGCAGAAGCATCAGAGGAACTAGACAAAGAAACACCCATAGAAGATAACGCAGATGACCTCATAGCAGAAGCTTCAGAAGAAGTATACAAAAAAACAACAATAGAAGATAACGTAGATGAAATTATAACAGAAGCGTCAGAAGAAATAGACAAAGAAAGATCAATAGAAGATAACATAGACGAAACCATAGCAGAAGCATCAGAGGAACTAGACAAAGAAACACCCATAGAAGATAACGCAGATGACCTCATAGCAGAAGCTTCATCAGAAGTATACAAAAAAAGAACAATAGAAGATAACGTAGATGAAATCATAACAGAAGCGTCAGAAGAAATAGACGAAGAGAGATCAATAGAAGATAACATAGATGAAACCATAGCAGAAGCATCAGAGGAACTAGACAAAGAAACACCCATGGAAGAAAACGCAAATGACCTCATAGCAGAAGGGTCAGAAGAAGTAGACAATTATATACCAGAAACGAGACCAAAAAAGCTGAGCATAACTGAAAGAAGAAATCTGACTAAGAAAAATAGACTACGGGGCAAACAATATACGGGTTACGAGAGAAGTAGGGAGAAGATTGTGGCACATGAAACTTTGAGAGCCGCAAAAAAAATTAAAGAGAGATGTTCTCATCGACAACCCGAGAAAGAATTGAAAAACAGTTTCTTGTGTTCCTCGATTTCCCAAGAAGATAGAAAAAATATGTTTTCATCTTTCTGGAAACTAGGATCATGGGGCGGGAAGAAAGTTTTTGTTAGAGGTTTGGTTAACACGCGACCTGTCAGAAGGAGACGGAAGATAATTTCAGAAGCAGAAGAAAATTTCAAAAAGTCTCAAGGGCATGATTATTTTTTGAAAACCATAAATGGAAACCGCATAAAAGTGTGTCGTTTACTATTTATAAACACGCTTGGACTAGAGAAATGAAAGCTGGGGTACTTTTGTTTATAATAGAGTGGACGAAATCAGAAAGTTGACCCCCCCCAAGAAGAGTGGAGACATATACCAGGAGTATATAATCCGGCAGATTCACCCTCTCGTGGCTGCTCCCCCAAACAATTACTCATATCAAAATGGTGGGAGGGTTCTCAGTGGCTCTATGAGAGTGAAGAAAGATGGCCACATGCCGACCAACAAGTGAATGAAGAAGATGTAAATTCTGAGCGGAAGAAGAGCAGCCTTAAGACCTTTTTATGTTTGAATCAAGGAGATTCTGACTACTTCCACTTGAGAAAGTTCAGTAGTTTTGAAAAAAATAGTCAGAATGTCTGCAGCAATTTTCCGATTCGTACATAATTTGACGTCAAAGATGAAAAATCACCAAAAGATTTCTGGGAATTTTTCTGTGAAAGAACTCGACAGTGAAGAAAATGTTATCCTCGGGAAGGTGCAACAAGAAAGCTCCTCAGGATTAGAAGACTATCAGAATGAAAGCTCGAAACCAAAATATGATGATTCTGGTTTGATCAGAATAGATTCCAGAGTTTCAAGTAAACCTAACGAGACTGAACATTTTAAATATCCCATTATCTTGCCGAGGAAGCATCCTGTTGTATTTGCTTTGATAATGGATGTGCATCTGAAGAATTGCCACGTAGGAACACAAGGTTCTCTCTGTTTTTTAAGAGAACGTTATTGAATTCTAACGGGCAGGAGAACTGTCAGGTCAGCCCTGAAAAAGTGTTCGATATGTCGTAGATATACCGCCAAACCCTTCATTGTAGAGCCACCACCGCTGACATCAGATAGAGTGCGTGATGCTGTTACCTTCGAAATAACCGGCGTCGACTTTGCTGGACCCCTATTTTTGAAATCGGGAGAAAAGGCATGGACTTGTTCATTCACGTGCGCGGTTTACCGGTGTATACATCTTGAGTTGACTTCATCGTTATCTACAAATGGTTTCTTGCAAGTGTTACGTCGTTTCATAGCAAGACGCGGTAGACCGAGAGTGATGTACAGTGATAACGGTACAAACTTTAAGGGTACCGATAACGCTTTCGAAGATTTGGACTGGGACCAAATTGAACGTGAAACGCCAGTATATCGAATCACGTGGAAGTTTAACCCCCCGACGACGTCGTGGTGGGGAGGTTTTTTTGAAAGACTTATCGAGTTAGTGAAAACGTTGTTGCGTAGGATACTCGGTGAGGCATGTATAGACTTTGAGGACCTTATGACTATGGTATGTGATTGTGAATCCGTCGTTAACAATCGACCGTTGACGTATGTTTCGTCAGATTCTTTGGACTTCAAACCATTGTCTCCAGCTATGTTTTCGCGCGATCAGTCCAACGCGAGTGTACCGGACATTGACGCGACTGAAAAAACGAACTTATCGCGTAGTGTGCGTTATAAACAGAGACTCCGTGAACAGTTACGTCAAAGATTTCAGGTAGAATATCTTGGACAGCTTAAACTTCTGTTCGACAAGAAACCGAGTGTGTCTGTTAAGTTAGACCAAATTGTCCTAATCGGGAACGACTCTACCAAACGTGTAGAATGGCCTGTAGCTCGGATTATTGAAGTCATCCCAGGCAAAGATGGACGCACGAGACTAGTGCGAGTTAAGACGTCACGAGGCGAGTTGTTGCGTCCAGTGCAACGTTTGTATCCCTTGGAGTGTAACACTTCGATTGCAGAGGAGCAGTACCCAGAGCCGACACCATTCGAAGATGAGCTCGTACCAGAGCTAAATGAAGCTGTTGAATCATCGCAGAGTATGAAGAAAGTTTGTGAACTGCGTTGTACGCGAGTGTAACAAAGTCAATCCGAATCCTAAGATTACTCGTAGTGGCCGTAATGTTAAAAAGCCACGAAGGTTTTGTGATTAAGTAGTTTTAGGTTTATACTGTGAGGTTTGGATTTGTGAGAAAATGTTTTAGGTTAAAACAATTCCTCAGGTGGGAGAATGTTGTAACTTCCTGCTTTTACGTTTATTTTAATATTTTGTTGCCATCTGAAATGTATCTCTCTGATTATCAATGGCTCGTACGCCCCTGTGTTTGTCTGGACACTTTATGCTAACCCGAGAGCTCGCGCCATCTGATGCAGTTGCAAATATTGTATCATGTTTCTGGAATTCACTAGATCAGTCGGAGTTTGAGCCTGACCATAAAAACAATATCTGTGTATGCGCGGGGGCTAGCTCGCGGGCCGGTTTTTATAGGTTATTGTTTATTATGTTTACGTATTTTTCAACGTTCAACGTATTCTATGCAAGGTTGTTTTCGATATTTCTTGTTTTTTTCGAGTACTGTGTTTTTGATAATTGCGAGAATAAATGAGTGTTGCTTTGAATCGTTTTCGTGTCAACACTTCCCGAACCACCTAGAGGCCAGATTCCATCGGTGTGTGGAACTTCGGCGGGGAATACAACATTCACGAAGGTTAAATTTATGTCACGAGCGTAGTAAGTGTCCTTCAACCTGAGTGAATAATAGCTCCTATGCGGGTACAATATTATACTTTGTCCACGACTTCTATTGTCTTTGATATATAAATTGAAGACAATCGAGATGTGTCCCGGCGTGTTCGCCAAAACTTTGGATCTAACAATTTCAACGATGATGATATTAGGCGCCCGAGAGTCGGTAATCAATCTTAGGAACTCCAGACCTGTGAATAATGGTTATTCACCGCTATTATCCACTGGTGTAAGAAATGGATATCGTTTATTTTCTGGAACACCCGTGGAAAAACATTAATTTTATTCTAACGACGCCACGACTGGTATACATATCAGCTGAAAAATACCACGAACGTGTCTGCTTACAGATACTCAGTATATCACCAGAATATCTCGCATTTTTGTTAAGTGACTTTCTAGTTAATGAAGCAAAATCAATTATTTGATTCAAATTAAACGCCCTGTATCTCGAAAACGAAGCCTCCTTCGACCAAAAATGTTCATAAGATCTTAGGCACTATATCTCAAACCCAGATATTTCCACATTTTCTTGGACACCCTGTATATAGGCACGAGGAGATAATCCAAAATATCTGAAGATATATGAACATTTCACCTCCTCGGTTGAACAACGGGCAGTATATTCATAAGTGGATAGGTGAAAGTGGATAGGTAATTTTTTCCACACTATATTATGATATATCGACTCGTTTTTTTCATATACTCCAAATATACACAATGCCTACACGATTCCAATATCTATCGTCTCTCCCTCTTTCCATTCACCCCAGTTACGGTGGTATGTTCCATGAAAATAATAGGAATTCCCATTCGTGTGATCCAAAAGATTTCAAAGATATCAAGAGTGCAATTCTTGTGACAGATGTAGGAATATAGTTCGAAATAGTTTCGTGAACGTTTCAATTGCAATTGCAATTACATTCCTTTCTTTCTGAACTTTTATCATTTGGTGAATAGAATTCTTTAGGCTATCAATATTATTATTGATTCCACTGAAACCAGCAGATACTGCTGTTTTCTCATTAGGCCTAGACCTTCCTGGATTAGATGAACTTGCACCAGAAGCCTTCGGCAGAGTTACATTTTCATGAACTATTCCTGCTGCTGCAGTGGCTAAAATTTCTTCCGATCGAGAATGAAATTCCAAGTGGAGCTTCAGTTGGCAGATCCGGTGTGGCTTTCTTCTGCAGTAATTTTCTCATAGGTAGCTTGTAAACCCTTCCATTTTCTGTCGCAACATTTCCATGAAACTCTATATCCCTTTTTCAAGAGACACTTGGTTACCAAACAAATACCTTTTTTTTGCGGCATCTTCATCTTTGTCTTTCGGCTCTCAATTTCATCCAGTCACGGCTGATCTAGGCAATATAAATGTCTCTTTTTGAGCGGTAGTTTATGAAACAATATTCTGGTTTATGAAGAGATGTTTTGAGTATACTTATATATATATATATAAACTAGGGAATATTGGGGACTGCAGCAAAGTCAGAAAGAGTACTCTTCAAAGTTGGTCCAAGCTTTCGAAAATCTTTATTTTCATCATCAGGGAGTCTGTAAAGTGATTATTCATGAGTATCATGTAGTTAAAGTGATGAAATCTTTGTGTACTTACAACTTTGTTGAGGATGGCTGACATGATGTTCATGTATAATTTCTTTATGTGTCTTGGTAACATAACATGAATAAGCCCAAAAGTCATCGATAAAAATACATTACATTGAATCACACGTTAAAACATTATAAAACTAGTTAAAAGTCACATCTTCCACCACATGGTTGGAATTGTTAGCAGATAAGGTTATTGCAAATGGTGCCGGGAAATGAGTTTTTTTGAAAAATGAATATGACTGACATATGACAGTGTGTGTGAAGACAATTGTCATGTCAAAATGCACAAAACAGTGGTACCAACAGACAATGTGTACCAACGTTGAAACTGAAATTTGAAATGATTATGAGTTCAATATTTAGTAATAGGTGCATATAACAGAGAGGAATCTCAGGTGAGCAGAATATTTGCGTTTCGATCTTCATCTTCCACAAATCTTGTTGAATGTTCCCGTATTTGCATACATCAGCAGTATGTTGGAAATTAATCGAATAGCGGCGCTAACAAAAAAAAAACAGAGGGGAAATATAGAATCGTTAGAAAAATCACCAAAACATATACCAAGCAATTAACCTTTGGAAATCGAACATATATTGCCGGACAATTCAAATACGTGCCCTAAATCTGGAATTCAGAAAATATAATGGAATGAATATATAGGTAGCTATAGGTAGCTTCCAAAGTTGATTCATCGATAATAACTGATGAATCTACATCAAATTCTTGCACATCAGGTATGGTTTGAGTGACAGTTTTATCTTCTGACTCTGAGAGGGACAATATAATTCCATCTTTGTACAATTTATAATATTCATCGCTTACCATCTCCAGGAAGCCTGAAATAGATTGATAGACATATATGCGTATACCTACTATATGGTTTTCATTGGATATTATGATGTGGAAGATTTTTGTGAACTTCGAATTTGAGTGAATATCTATATAAGTAATAACCTCTCAGCATTCGGTAGAAATCTTCAGTACTCAAGTGCCCTTGGAATTTTACTCCACTTCTATGAGTTATCAGAACAGATGCCTCATTTTCATCCATTTCGTTTCTTTAAGTAGATACCTACTTAGTAGCACTGGAACTCCGTGAAATGAAATAAAATATGGAATATCAGAAACTATCAATCTTGAGGTGCGTTTCCAAAATTGTACCCGACGTACAACCATTCAGAGTAAACCGTTTCAATATAAGTGCAAGTAGTACGACAATTGTAGATGATCGTTTCAATATTCACTGGAAGGCTCATCCTAATGTTAACAATTTACCCTACTCAAATAGGTTGGTAGATTATCTTCGACATGCGCATCTTGTCAGTATGTTGTCAGTACATTTTTTCACATGTTTCAATAAAATTTTTGTTTTCACGAATTAATTAATCGAGGCGAATTGAAAAATAATCCTTATTTGTCAGTATGTCTCATACGACCATTACCATTTCCACCCAAACCCATCGTCTTTGTATGGATGGTCTTAATATTATGACTAATGGAGATGGAAATGTTCTGCTAGAAAATATTAAAGGTAACCAATACTGTGTTTGAGGCCATACAAATAACGTTTATAATTTTATTATCCTAATTTTCAGATACGAGTCTCATCTACGTTGACTGGCAGATAGCCAGTGAAGTATTTGGAATTTAATTCTTTTTGGAAAACAGAGTCAGAAATATTGGAATCAGAGGCAGAAACAGCAGAGCCAGAGCTTGAGAAGGGAAATTCCCAAATATCCCAAAGTGAAGACAATTTTCGGGTAATGTGGACAAGAAAATGAATTCTGCAACTGATCAGTGCTTACAGAAAAAACCTGAACCTTTTCAAATCATTTACCATAAGGAGGATCAAGATTTGGAAATTGATATCTTCAGATCGATGTGTAAACAATTTCAACAACTTGAAGTCAAAAAACCTTGACAAAAAAGAACAATATGTCTTGGAAGAAAACTGGAGCCAAATCAATAAATTTCTAGTTTTTTGAGGAGTTTGATGATAGGTTTAGGAATCATCCTAATGTTGAACCTTCATTTACAGCATCATCCCAAAAAGGTAATTGCAAGTCTGAAAAGTGTTTGAATTTTCACCGTTTTCCTCTGTTTTCAATTATTTTAAATTAGATTCGAAAATTTCAGGAAATAGTAGTACTGTAATTGATACAGTTGTACCTACGTGGACCACGGTCTGATCCATGGTCTGACTACGGTCTGAACGAATTGTGACGAATTGACCATGGTTTGACCTGCCGCTGAACGTAGCCCTGGTTTTGTTCAATTCAGCATACATTCTATTATGAGTTCAATGAGAAATTATCAAAATCCATCATTGTCTATGTTTATACATTTCAACATTTAAATCAATCGACAATCGATTTCTGACAATCAAAAGTCAATGTTCAATGACAGATATAAGGTGAGATTAATCCGTCGAGTTGAGGCTTTGCACCCCTTCGTGGTCACTTTGGAGACCTGCAGAACATCACTTTCCAAAGACTCGTTCATCCAACGAACAGCGAGGCTCTGGAACACATTGCCAGCCAAGGGAGGTGTTCCCCGAGGCATATAATCTCCAGGGCCGCGATTCTTGAAAATCAGGGAGTAGAACAATCGAGAGAAAGTGGGCGTATCCACTGCCCGAAACTGAAAACCGTATTCTTGAACTGAATGACATAAGATGAGCGCTCCCTAGGGAGTTAATAATGCATCTATCAGGATATTTAAGAGAACCAAACCGGAATCGCGTCTGATTGGCTTCAAATATGACAGAATCATACAACAAAAAATGTTTCTAGGTTTTTGCAACACTGAGGTTTTTCCAAGTGGTAGTTACCAAGAAATTACTGGCTCCAATTATTCCATTGGAATAAGCCAACCAAGTGTATGCCGCTGCTTGAAAGAAGTATGTAATATTTTGAACTTGCCGCCTCAGATATTCAATGAAGGGGTTCGTTTTTCTGGGAATATAGAGAAACTTTCCTTATTAGGTGTATTCTAAACACTGTTTCATAATTTTCCAGCAAATCATAAATTGATATTGATTCTCATAATAATAATGGAGCAGTTGATTACAACATAGTATTTTCTAATTGATTGGTTAGTAGATAAGTTGATTTTTTTTCAGATTTTATGAAAAATATCAATTTCCTTGGATAGTTGGGATTATTGATTATACCCATGTGGTCATTGTTTCACCCAAGTTGGATAACGCAGAACAGCCAGAGAGAGCATATGTCAACAGGAAAAACTACCATTCACTGAATGTTCAATTGGTAATGAACTTTTCCATCAAATTCCAAAATAATTATTCATAATTATATATTTTTCCTAGATATGTGACAGCACATTGAAAATATTGAATGTCAATGCAAGATTTCCAGGCAGTACACATGACGCTTTCATATGGTCACAATTTAGGGTGCCAGATACAATGGAGATGATTTATAGAAAAAATCCTGCTAATAATTTTTTCCTAATTGGCGATTCTGGTGAAGTGAAATTACAGTATATTCTTTTGGCTCTTGGAGTCATATGTAATATTGATTTTTTTCAGTGCATTCTATAGGATACCCCACAAGGCCTTGGTTATTGACTCCTATTCCTGACAGAGAAACTGAGGAAGAAGATAGGTTTAATGAAAGGTTTCGTAGCAATAGATGTGGTATAGAACGCTGTAATGGGGTATTGAAGAATCGTTTCCGATGCCTATTAAAACACCGTGTCTTACACTATTCTCCAACAGCTGCAGCTACTATTGTTAATGCATGTGTGGTTTCACATAACATGTGCATAGTAGCTAACGAACCTGACCTACCAGAAGAGGATGAGAATGTACATAATATTGACTTAGGCATTAATGCACAAAGGCCACCAGGGGACAGAGAGTTAATGCAAGAGTGAATCAGGATTTGCTTGCAGCAAGAGAGTTGAGAAGAAATATTATTCATAACTTTTTTTTGTTTCAACTATAAATGATAAAATTATCTATTAAGAGGTGTTGAATACAATTTTTTTTATTGATTAAGTATTATAAATGAATAAAGACTGAACATTTTAATGAAAATATGCAGGACTACATTTACATAGATAGACAAAACTTCAAAACTCTTTGAGGAAACAAAAAATAAATACTTTTGAAATCTCAATAAATAATGTACCTAGGAACTTGAAAAAGGAACTCAAGAAATAATGACCGAACATTAACATATCAACAAAAATAATATGCAGAACTAACTGCAAAAATAGACAGGACTTCAAAACGCTTTGGCATGCATATGAAGTTGAACGATTTGAAATATCCTCAACTCCATGAGAAAACAAGAGATAAAATCTTTTGGAATCTGAATAAATAGTATCATACATAGGAACTAAAAAATGGAACACAAGAATTTGGTTATTGCACCAGAATTCTATTGTACCTATATAGAACTAGGTTTTTGACATCCCTGGAGCAATTCTGAGCAAAACTATTTGCTATACTTTGTAAGGCAGATAATTTTCTTTCTCGATATGTTTCTCTACTCCTATTTTCTTCTTCTATCGAATTAATTTTCTTATTTTGGTATTGTTTATCACTTGTGAACTTTTCTTTCATCTATGAATCTTTTATTTGTCTTCAGTGATTCCTCAAGTCTGCTTGATTTGTTAAGCCTAACTATTTTTGTTGGGATAGTAGAATAATCTGTTGCTGCAGGCTTGGAAAATGTTGCAGCAGACATAATGGAGCTCATAGGAACAGTGTGGCTAGAGTATTCAGTTGAAATAGTCATATCTCCTCTTTTTTCCATTGTACTGTAATATAGATGATCCTCACTACTTGGTGCATGTTCAATGATCACACTGTTATAGGTCTGTCCATTTTCTATATTCCATCCACTTCCTGAAAATCCCATCAGTTTTTGGAATTCACTCATTCATATTTTCAAAGTTCAGAAGCTTCAAAACTGTATTTTCAATTCCATTTATATTTTAGGAACTTCATTATTGATGGAAAATCAATTATTGGGAATGTTAGCCAAGATTAATTTCAACAATATTTTTCTAACATGTGCCTCTGTTTCCTCATTGTCCAAAAATGAAACTAATGATTCCTTTTTATTTTCATCACATTGGATGGTTACTGTTAGTAGGTATGATGTTGGGTATTGCCTGATCCAAATCATTTTCAGGATTTGGTGGTAATGGGGGACCACCCCCAGTTCCCCTTACATATTTTCTTTCTTTAACGGCTCTTGATTTTGTATTTTTCTTAATGTTAACCCACGTCTGAAAACAAAAAAAATACTACTTGCATTTCTGAATTATCATCAAAGGGCCCCTGTAGGTATTGAAGTTCTGATTTTTATTATCTATTTCTATGTCTATACACTAGATACTTCTCCACTGTCGCCATTCTTCAGCTGGTCCATTCGGAATGCTGTTTGAAATGTTAGTAATTTCCATCCAATTTTTCATCATTTTTTCTTTGGTATATGTTTGTGTGAACCGACCTGTATACATCTCTGGTCTTTGGGATATGTATTCAGTAAATGAATGTTTTTGCGTTTTAGTTATTGGCAGCGATTTCTTTTTTTCTACATTTGCCATGAACAATTTGATGATAATTGAAATAATTCACGAATCACGAATAATTACTTGGAAAAAAATTACATTTGACATTCAACGTTCACCTTCAACTTGTCTGTAGAATGTCAGAAAATAATCGTTTCTGATTGGTCGTCACCTTTGGCAACACGTGGCAACACAGTCTATCGAGGAGCTATGATTTCGCTCTCTCTCTCTCGCCGCCGATTCTTGAGATCAAGAGAGTAGAACGCTCCCTGGGAGCTCCCTCTGATTTGTTTCTACTCCCTCGTTCTATATAGAACAACCACAGTGTATTCTTGAACAATATGGAGGAAGATGAGAGGGAGGAAAATAAAAGCTTTCATGAGATATTTTTTTGCGGCGTTGTCAAATACTCTAACCAATAGGAAACGAATATGTATTGTAGAGAAGAATCAGAACCTAACCTAACATAAAACATCAGCTTTCTGTATCTGATAAACCAAATCTGTTGTTCAAAATATTATTTATTATGGAGAAAAAGAAATCACTACCAATAACAAATAAGCAAAAGAAACTTCTGACGGAGTATATTACTCAGAAACCAGAAATGTATATTGGTCGATTAACATCAACTTATACAAAATCTGTAATGATCAGGAACTGGGAAGAGATATCAAATATTCTCAATAGTGTTCCCAATGGACCTGCGAAAGACTGGAAGCAGTGGAGAAAAGTAAGTAGAATGAAAAATAAGTGTGAAACAAAATATTCATAAATTATTTTTCAGACTTGGGTTGACATAAAGAAGAACACCAAAGCTAGGGCTGTCAAAGAGAGAAATTATAGAAGGGGTACAGGAGGTGGTCCTCCATGGCCACACAACAATAAAGATGAAAGTATAGATGAAAAAATATTGAGTATTATACCTTCTGTTACCATAGAAGGTGATAAAAATGTATCAGAATCTGTGGTTTTCTTCTCTGATGACAATGCTGAGATGAATGTAAGCTTTTTATCAGTAAGATTATACAGCAAATAACTCTCTTTTCAAGGTGGAGATAATAAATTTAGATGAAGGAGGTAAAGAAAATTATCAGCTTGATGATATTGAAGAATATTCAGCAGATCACATGTATTGTAATAGTGATCAAGGACTGAAAGAACAGCATAAGCCTGCCACTACAGAAATATCTGGTCCCAAAAAAGTAACCAAAAAAGTGACTAAATCAGCTCGCCTTCAAGAATCTTTGAAAACGAATAACAGATTCATTGATATGAATGGTGAGAAGTTTAGGAGTGACAAGTTATACCAAGAAAAAAAGATTGCTCTTCTTGAATCACAATCAATATATAAAAAGGTATATCTGGATAAAAAATTATCAGCTTTGCAAAGCATTGCAAATAGTTTCAGCGAAATAGCAAGTGATATCAGAGATATCAAGAACAAAATTTTAGAAAATGGGTATTTCGAGGAGTTTCCCTAGATACCTACCAGATGCAATGTTCTCAGGACTGGAGATTACTCATTTGACTGGAAGTGTGTAACAGGGTTGTTATATGCAGTGATAAAGTTATAGATCTAGTGCATTAATATTTAGTCATTGGAAAATGACATAAAGAATGGTTCCTTTTTGTTATTTCATTTATATTTATTTTGTTTATGTAATGTTATTGTCATACTTCACTTTGTTTTTGAAGAATATTCGTTTAATGATCTTTTTTCAAGAGTTTTAAAATTTTTTAAAATTATTATTTTGTTTATCATTGAAACATGAATATAAGACTGATCATTTCTTCTAAGTTTTCCCAATCATATCAGCTTTTCAAAGGAAACACAAAAAACACCATAGACTAGAACTGGATTATATTTTATTTTGAAAAATATTCAATTTAAAAAATGGTTATCAATGATATTCTGCCTCAAGTTTCTTGCTGCAAGCAAATCATTATTAATCCATGCATTTTGAATCTGTTCCCCACTTGTGCATAAATGCCATAATCAACTGCATCCCCATTTTCCTCATCTTCCTGTGGCTCAGGTATGCCTGCTATTATACACATATTGTGTAGAACAACACATGCATTCACAATTGTTGCTGCACAAGTTGGAGAATGATGCAACACACGATGTTTCAACAAACACCGAAAACGATTTTTTATGACACCATTACAGCGTTCAATTCCACTCCTTATGCTACGAAACCTTTGGTTGAATAGTTCCTCTCCTTGGGTTACTGGGTTGGGAATCGGTGTCAATAACCATGGCGTTGTGGGATAACCTACAGAATGCACAATTTCATCCTTACCTTCAAGAATTTACAATATATCAACTCTACCTGAATCACCAATTAAGAAGAATGTATTAGCTGGATTTTGCCTATAAATCTTTTCCAATAATTCAGAAATCCTAGATTGGGACCATATATAAGCATCGTGGGTACTGCCTGGGAATCTAGCATTGACATTTATTATTTTCAATGTACTGTCACAAACCTACAAGAAATAGTCAATGATGATTATTTTCAAAGATATAGTGAGCTACCAAAGAAATAATTATATCATTACCAACTGAACATTGAGGGAATGATAATTCTTCCTATTAACATAGGCCCTCTCTGGCTGTTCCTCATTATACACCCTGGGGGAAACAATTGCCACATGGGTGCAATCAATAATACCAATTATTCCTGGGAACTGGTATTTTTCATAAAAACTAAAAGAAGAATGCAACGTCAATGGAAACAAATAACAAATAATAGTCCACAATCATATTAATTTTTGTATGTCCCTAATCAATTACCTTTGTCGCAGATCTTCCAGTTCTCTGATGTTTTCTGGAAAACGTACCCACTGACTGAATATTTCAGGCAAGTTCAAAATGTCACATATTTCCTTCAGACACCTGCCTACACTTGCCTCACTAACACCAATAAATTGGTTGGAGCCAACTATTTCTTGATAACTGCCAGTAGCCAAGAACCTCAATGTTGTCAAAACCAAAAAATGTTACATACTGGATTCGCCACCGAAGATCTACTGGAGATCTACTTGCCTACGTCACCCATTTATGGCAATATTCAATAGAAAAACTCGGGGAATCTCTAGCTGTCGCGTTGGACATATCGAAAGCATTCGACCGTGTTTGGCACGAAGGACTCCTCCACAAACTACCATCATGAGGCTTACCACCTCAGCTATGCCATCTCTTATCGAGTTTTCTTTCAGGCAGATCGCTTCACGTGGTAGTGGACGGTGTATCGTCTGATACCATTGGCATCAATTCCGGCGTTCCACAAGGATCAATTTTGGCACCAACATTATTCCTGCTTCATATCAATGATCTGTTGGGAGTAACAACTTGCCCCATCCACAGCTTTGCAGATGATAGTACCCTCCATACTGCTTTCTCTTCCAGAATTCCCATTTCTTCCCAGGAAACTAACGGCGCAGGCAGGTCAATGCTGTCAATGAAGATCTTGCTGAAATCACAGCCTGGGGAACAAACAACCTAGTTGAATTCAACGCCACCAAAACTCAAGCCTGCATTTTCTCTAGAAAGGCGGAACTCAGTATGCCCGATATTGTAATGTCTGGCTCCACCATCCCCACCAAGCCCACCATATCTATGCTCGGTATTTCCATCAGCAACACTCTTTCATGGGATAATCATGTCAGATCCATCGCAAAAGCTGCTTCCCAAAAACTCGGATTCTTGTTCCGTGCGAAAAACTACTTTACACCTCAACAGCTTCTCATGATCTACAAAGCGCAGATACGGCCTGTTCTAGAATACTGTTCCCACATATGGGGTTCAGCACCAAAACATACGCTGATGCTCTTAGATTCCATCCAGAGAAGAGCCATTCGCCTGGTGGGTGACGCCACACTCACTCACTCTTTGGCATCATTAGAACACCGTAGAAAGGTCGGCGACCTTTCACTTTTCTATCGATACTTCCACGGGAAATGTTCTTCGGAAATCTCTGCTATCATCCCTTCACTAGCAATACCAATCAGACGAACTAGACAAGCCCAGTCAGCACATCCTTTCGTTGTCCACCTCGAAAGATGTCGAACAGCACTTTATCAAGACTCCTTCATCCATAGAACGGCTAGGCTCTGGAATTCATTACCTGTGGAAGTGTTCCCAACAACATATAATCTCCAAAAGTTCAAAAAAAATTCCAATACCTACCTCCTGTCCCTATCCTCCCTAGGAACGCACGATGTTCTTTGAACATTATAGGGATTCCCTCTCGTGCGCTCCAAGCGATAAAAAAAAAAAAAAAAATCAAGCTGTTTATAGTTTATCATATATATCAAATCCTATATTTTTCCCTTGATTTTCCATTTGAATGGATCTTTCAATTCAGGTGATAGATGATGAGTATGAGATAGTTCAATTTGTCCTAGGTTTTTATTCTCACTCACCTTGGTCTCTACAGTGAGTGCTGACGTTCTTGTAGGGGCTTCCACAAAAGGATTCACAATATTGATGAGTTGTCTTTCTGAATCTTTTGTGAACCGGAACATTTTAATGAATTTTTGATCAGACAACTCAAAAGGGTTTCTTTTGGGCAGTACATCTACACCTACATTGTTCTGAATTGCGGCATCCTCAACATCTTCATTTATTTGGTCCCACATAATAGCATTCACCATGTCCATGTTGAAGTGAAAATAATAGTAAATAGTGTTTATATAAGAATACTGTTTATGGAATGAACGAAAAAAACGCATTTATTACAAAAAATACATCAAGTGAAAATCTGTGAAAATCAAAATATAACCTATAATATATGAACAAGCGTCAAGCTGTCAATGTAAATGGAATGGAAGGGAGCCAATCATAAAGGTTCCCTCTGTTATTCTATCACGAAATCTAAGAGATGCATTTTATTCCCTGGGGAAGCTTTGTTCTACCGTCATTTGGATCAAGAATACGATTTTCATGCTAAGTTGTTGGACACGCCTACTTTCTCTCAATTATTCTACTCCCCGGTTTTCAAGAATCGGCGCCTGGTGTGTTCATTCTTCAATTGTTTTTCTTTCCTAACGAATCGATGGGAACCCAATGATGTTTTGGAGAATTGCCGATAGTTTGCGCCACAGTCGATTATTGTCATTGTCAAATTTTAAAATTTGGGATTTGATGTTGACATCCAACATTTATCCATCCATAAACGGCATTTTTGTTCCTTGATTAAAATTATTGTTACTTTTGGTATTATTAGGTTAAATTATTGACTTTTGGCGTTATTTGTGTGTTTTCCTGTTGTTCAGTAGTTTTTCTCTGTGGTTCTTCCAATTCAGTATTGTTTTTGTGTTCGTGTTGTGATTGTGTTTTATTCCTTTTTGAACAATGTATTTTTGTATTGGTTGTGGACAATCCAGAGATAATTCTGTTCACCTCTACAGAATCCCGAAGGTCAATATCTAAACATATTCCAAATAAAGCACTCATTAAATGTGTTATCCATATTTTCATTTCATGTAGGACGATGATATTAGACGAAAATGTTCTGACGCATTTTTCGCCAGAATCCGTGAACATTATGAGGCTGAGAAAAGGATGAGTGCCTTTGAAACAGTAAATATTTATATAGCTATACTAATTACTCAGTTTCCAGACCATCAGTCAATATCCTAATTGCCATATTTAGCAAAGAAAACTATTCTTTGAATTCCTATGGATTTATACTCAATCTATATCAATAACCTTATTATTACTGTCTCATCAAACCTACTTGACAATACAAACAATAGTTAAACTTGACATAACATGTTACATAAATAAATTGAAATAAAATCATATTGTGAGGTAATGTATAATAATTATATCACAGATCAAGTGAATCAGTAAAGTATTCATCTAAACAATAATAGGGTCTATCTGATAATAAATGCTTCACAGCTTTCCTGAATGCATTGGATGGTCCAATGTCCTTTATACTATTAGGAAGATGATAGTAAATTTTGCCACCAATATGAATGAAGGAATTTTTAATGAGGGGAGTATGAGTTTGATATCTTTATTATGTCTTGTATTGTGATGTAATGAATGGAGACTAAATCTATCGATATGTTCTTTCATTAATGAGGTAGTTTCTAATATAAATAGAGATATAACTGTCAGTATTTTTCGTGACTTGAACAGATGTTTGCAAGGGTTTTGCAGCTCGTTTCTGTAGGACAAGTATAGGTACTTTTCAATAAGTTATCATTACAACTTCCCCAGAACGCAATACCGTATCGTAGGTGTGACTCAATGAGAGGGTGGTACACCATCTTAGCAGCTGTGTAATCCAATTGTTGTGAGATTAGGTTCACTGCGTAACATCCTGAATATATTTTTTTCTCAATAAAATAATATGATCTTCGAATTTTAATTTACAATCGTTATGGATTCCTAAGCATTGTATTCAGTTCTTATTCTCAATGTTGCCAGAAGCAAGTGTCAAATCATCAAGAGCACATTTGAATG